TGCACACAGGCGAACTTGGCAGGGATGATAACACTCCTAGAGATAACTCTGCAGAGTACACAGGACAGCACTGGATTTCTTGCAGAATCAAAGGGTATTTTTTTACAGCTATAACAAAGCACTTTCAGCGGTATAGTTCTTGTATTCATTTATATGGCACCAACATAATCTACAATACAGAGTACATAGAATCAGGGCTTTTTTTAGCGGGAACTCAGGGGTATGCAGTTTCAGCACCTCCAGCACTGAATGTATATAATGGCAAGGAGTGATGGGGTGTTCTGGAGGGTCTATTGTTGCTGGGGGACCTATTTTAGTGTGTATGTCTTGTTGCTTGTGAGGGATCTGTTGTTGCTGGGAGGGATCTATTGTTGAGGGAGGGGTCTATGGTTGCTGGCTGCCGAGAGAAATGTTGTTGCTGAGTTGGATCTATTGTTACTTGGGGGGTTGTTGCTAGGGGGTCTACTTTTGCTGGCTGCAGGGGATTTATTTTATTACTTTTCTTATTGTCAACAACAAATTCCATACAAATGCACAGAATGATACTTGGTTATCTATTCTCTAAAAGGGCCATACTGGGAGGTGGTGAAACGAAGGGACTATGCACAGAGGTGGGTAGGGGGCGGAAACAAGGGGTGAGGCGGGGAGTACCTGCACCTATTTCTAGAGAAAATAAAGCCCTGCATAGAATCAATGTGAAAAGTCCCTTCCCCAACACAGCTTACATCATAATGTCTCTACTGTACTCATACATATGCAGACAGTAGAATCAGTTTTAGGTGGAAGTTGATTTGCCTACCTGCATGTTTTTGGATAATGGGGAAAAACCTGTGCTGACAAGCTTTGGGTTTGTGTCAAAAGGCAAATCCAGGCTGCGTTTAGGCTCCATTCACACTTATATGACTCCAAAGTTGCGTGACTTTGGAGTGCAACTTTGATGCAAATTTGTCGCAACTTTGGATGATTGCGAATTGTTTCTCTGCAAAGTCGTACCCACTGTTGCATGTAATACATTCAGGTACAACTTTCATGCAACTTTTCAGGGTTAACATTGAAGTCTATGGCCCTCAAGTTGCATAAAAGTCAGACCAAAGTAGTGCATGAACTACTCTGAAGTTGCTGCAACTTTAAGTCACACATATATGAATGGTTATCATTGGAAACCATGGGGTATGACTTGTCATGCGGCTTTGATGTCCAGAGTCACACAAAATGTGAATGGGGTCTTAGGTTCATTCCACTAGCATTTGAGACCAGTTTGGGATTCTACCAAGATAATTCAGATATCATTAACAGGTGCATCTAACCTGCAGTTGACCTCATGCTAGACTGAATTTAACTGTCTGCTAAGTTGATGTAACCTGTTTTAAAATGCTTTTGCTTTCCCATCAGGGGCGGACTGAGAACTCATGGGGCCCCCGGGCAATAGGGGATCATGGGGCCCCTGTGTCCTTGCCCAAACTCAAAAAAGCCTATGAAAAAGGTACCAGGGGCATCTCATGGGGCCCCCTACTGACCCCGGGCCCTCGGGCAGTGCCCGAGTTTCCAAATGGTCAGTCCGTCCCCCTGTTTCCCATTGTCTTGTATGGGGGGAAAAAAAGTGAGTTCTGATGTGAACAAAAACCTGTGAACCCGTGTCCTTGCACAGCTGTGAAACTGCGGTTGAACTTTATGGAGATTTGGTTGCACTTGATGATGTTACAACCTGACTATGTAACCATGTAACATATTTTATATTAACATGCTTTGATGTCAATTGATGTCAAAGAGAAGACCTCCAAGTCTTGTCCCCAGATGATGAATGCCATGATGATGAACAATGGGCACTAAGGTCCTCAGGCATTGCAGCTGTTAAATTGTAAGACCATGAACCTCATCTCACTGGTGGACACTGCTGGTTTTGTCATTCATCTGCCTTATCAATGTCCTCATAACATCTATGCTATGTTGTGCGCATGTAACATCTGTGCCAGTGTCTCATTATGTGACAAATTACATTTGTTGAAACAGCACAATACCCGAGCACTACTATATCTCTGTATAGGTTTACTTTGAAAGAACTCTGTTAGGATAAATATGAAAGCAGCGATTTCAGAGTTCTGATCAATGATATAAGCTTTGGGATGACCTTCTTATTCACTGCTGGCACCTTTGTGAGTCACTAACCATGCATGTGCTTGTTTCTGGGTCTCTGATTTAGGGTGCACTCACACTGGCAGTTTTAACTGTGTCCACGAATGGTTCATCCACTTGGTCCAGTTAGTTTGTTTAGTTTACCGTGCCAAGGAATGATAAAAACTTGTAAAAGGTGGTCCCAGGCATAGTTTGCTTATGGTTAAAAACAAAACCAAGGTGCAACAAAATCATAAATGCTCTACGTTTTGCTTTTTTTTTTGTCAATCAACCCCCAACCCTAGCTAAAAAGCCCTTTGCTTCCCAATACTCTTCAGAGAAGGACCACTACGTCCTGTGCCTGATGTGTCCCTTGCCAAGTCAGACCTAGAATTCTATAATCAGCAACGCATGCTTTCTTGAATGGCAATGGGCTTTTTGGCTGGGGGGGGGGGGGGGGCATCATGTACACCTAGACCTTAAGCTCTCCTGGCAGCAGAAAAATGCTAAACATGGCAAAAAAAATGCATGTAAACGCGATATTGCTTTTAGCCGCATTTAGCTCTTGGATGTTTTTTCCTTTGATTGGCCAGAGTATTTTCCATTGACATGAAAAAATGCTCAAGCACTAAACTTAGCTAGCGTTTACACACGTTTTTTTGCAGCATTTAGTGGTTTTTGGGCAAAACATTCCTGTCCTGAACAAGATTATTCTGCGTTCAGGAGAGGAACATTTAACTGCCCCTAAATTCTGGTATAAGCCTACGTGTACATGGACCCATAGGCTTTTATTGAGTTGAGTTCAGAGTCTTTGGCAAGAAACGCCAAAAGCTCCTAAACTCACGTTTAGGAGCAGCAGAGGCCTTAGACTTACAACTTTGATTTTCTTTTAGCATTTGGGCTAAGACTTCTATTGAGCATTAAAGCAAATCTGTGATTTTGCCAAGCCAAGCAAAATAATAGGATTGCTTTATTGCCCCCCTCCCCAGAATTGCATACTGACCTTTTCTCAGCTCCCTGCTGGGAGCAAAGGTAATGCCGGGTATCTTTTGGTATGGATGATCATGTGACTCACTTCCCATCCTCCTATGTGACAGTGCAGTTGCTTGGCAGTTGGCCTAGCTATTTTCATAAGGTTTTCAGCTCTCAGCTCTGTATAAGCTCCGACTAGAGTGACTTGGGTGTTAAGCGTGGGTTCTTTCCCTACTCCCAACAACTAAATAGAGAGAGGAGGGAAGGGGGAAAACTGCTGTAAGTATAAAGTGAAGGTACCTAGCAGCATCTACCTATAGATGACTCGGACTCACAAAGCTGAATCTTAAACCATTCTGACAGGCAAAGCTTATTTTTTTTTTTTTAAGAGAACCACTTTCCTTCTATCTTCAATTTCCTATTGGCTGGTGAAGATGCCAACTGGAATATGTGATCTTGGGTCTTGGCAATATCGACACAACCAGAAGTGTTGAATCTTTACCTGCAGATGGGACCAGCATTTGGGTATAGTTGGAAGGTCTCAAAGGCTGCTGCAGGTCCATGCAACTCTGCTGTTCTCTCCGTGACAGTGTCCTTTTAAAGCTCATATCAGGGCTAGGGTCAAGACAAGGGGTGGGCAGGAGGGGAAGCTGGCCTAGGTGCAATGGTTTATTGCAGGGATGGGGGCACCCTGTGCTGAGTTCCTTCTGTTACATGGTTGCAAGAGTGGTGACATCAGCATCAACCCAGCTCTGGGAGCAGTGAGGAGACATCTGGGAGGAGGTGCGGGTTGCGTACCCTCTACCCTAAGCCTGCATATCATGAACAGGAAGGGGGGCACAGTTTGGCATCTTTGCCCAGGGAGCTGAATGACCTTGTCCCAGTAAAGATCAAGGCTACATCTCCTGCTCGCCTGTAGGCCCTGTCACCTGTACGTTTGTTTTTTTAATGATATCCTTACTTTTTTCAGATGTCTTAGGCTCGTCATGTGACACTGAGGGTCCACTTCCTCTTTGGATTTTCATTTGATGGTTGGTGGGCCTCAATGCTGGGTGACATTAGTGCTGATTTTTGCAGCATTGTACTATGAGTGTTGGGTGTCAAAGTAATGTCCCTTCATGAGGTGACTCCATGACACCCTAAGCTCACAGTATACACTGTGTACATGTCCATTCTTCCAGGTTCACTGACAGTCTTTCAACCCAAAATCTTGTGGCTAAAATAAATTATTGTAGCGTACAGTGCCATGGTGGAGATGAGGATTGCAGGCTAAGCTGTTTTTTATTTTAACCCCTTTGTGGAAGACTTTTTTTTTTTACATTTACGAGACTTGGCCTTAAACTGGTTGTAAAGGTTTAAGTTTTTTTACCTTCGTACTTCCTATGCAGGATGGTAAAAAAAAACTTTCTGGTAGCTGCTCCTTCAACAGCCCCCCTTAATACTCACCTGAGCCCCCTCTCCATCCAGCGTTGTGCATGGGATCCTCGGCTGTCCCGGGTCTCTCTCTCCTCTTTGGTTGAAACACAGCAGCAGGAGCCATTGGCTCCCAATGCTATCAATCATAGACAGTGAGCCAATGAGGAGAGAGCAGGGGTGGGGCAAAGCCACAGCTCTATGTGTCTTATGGAAGCGTAGAAATAAGGTTCGGGAGTGAGCATGCACCAGTGCCCCCCATAGCAAATGGCTTGCTATGGGGGGCACTGGTCAAGTGGGAGAAGCCAGGAACACCAGCGGGGGACCTAAGAAGAAAAGGAACGGGGCTGCTCTGTGCAAAACCATTGCACAGAGCAGGTAAGTATGACATGTATGTTATTTATTTTTTTAAAGGAAACTTTAATATAACTTTTAAATAAGTATTTATAGCAATCATGTGATTTCTAATAATGATAACAAGAATGTAACAACATTTTTCTTACCATAGCCACTTTTCTTAGGTGATATTGGTGGATCTGGAAGAGTTTCAGGTGGCAGTTTAGGATAGGAAGGGGGAGTCTTTGGTGGAGGGAACAGCTTCTGTCCTGGGGCTGCCTTGGGGCCCATGTAAGGTGGATGATATGCTGGCTGAATCAGAGGACCATCTTGGCAGGCATCCCCTGAATGTCCAGGACAACAGCGCCACTGCAGTTCAGTCACTATCTTGTACCCAATATAATACTTAGGCCTGAAAAGTGTCCTGTACCTATAAGGAAATAATGGAGCAAATTAAAGATGCTGGGCAGTCAACCACATCCCCCCTGTCCATTCAGATTCCACAGATCTTGAGGGTCCATTGAGCTTAATAATGAGAAGCTCTGCAGGTGACTATTTGTCGCTTTCACTAATGTTCTATAATGAAATCTATACAAACAGTAATTTGTTACTTCAGGCTGTGATTAAATAGAAGCAGCAGGGCACATTTTTCTCTAAAGACGGTGGGAAAACCTACCAAGTGTCACGCTGACTTGCAATAAAATTCTTCATTTTCCCAAATGGTTGTGGTGCGAAAGGAACATCATTTTAACTGTTGATAATTAAATGTAGCAAATGATTTTCACATCACATTGCATTATAGATTATGGAAGCTTATTTAACAAGCCAAAGGGAAGATGTAGAGAACCCTTGGTGACCAATCCAAAGTCATCTTTCCTTATTTTGGCCAATGAAAAAAATGAAGATATGAAAAGCTCTGTAAATTGTGTTATAGAGCAGGTACGATGTTTGTGCATTGCGACACACTGTGTGCCTTCAAAATGAATGGGCTTCCTTAACGCAGTGTACATTAGTATAAATAAGCCCTTCAGTACAGCAGTGCAAATGGGCCCTTGAGGAGGCCTTCATGTTCTTATTGTCAGTTAGGAGATTTTTGATCTCTTCAGATTCTGCATCAATCAACTGACACAAACAGGCAACTGATGAGTTGATGATACCCATGAGGCAAGAGAGAGGCAAGATATTTGTACAAATTGTGCATAAAATGAATGCCTTGAGCTTCAAGTGACAAGCTTCAAGCAGCATTAGGGTCAGGTGTGAATTGGCACCATTGACTATAATAGGAAACTTGATGTTGAGTGTTGAAGCGATTTGGGAAATGTACTTCAAAAACACTTGGGTGTGAAATGGACCTTAACCCCATAACAACATGGTAACACATATATGGCATCCAGGAGGTTGGCTTTAAACTTGGGCACTGCACATACTATATGTGTTCCTGTGTTTAAGACTCATCTCACTGAGAGCCCCTTGTCTCGTGCTAACATTCGGGACAAAGGACTCCCAGTTCTCGGTCACCTGACCGCTATGATAGCCTCTGATTGGATGCATTGTATCTTTCTCTCTTTGCAAGAGAGAACGATGTAAACAAACAAAAGTGTATTAAAAAAAAGAAGAAAAAATAGCTGGATCAAAGTTTGATCTAGGTTAGTGTTAGGGTCAAAGGTTAGTGTCAAAGGTTGGGGTCAGCATATTTTAGGTAGAATTTTTAATAACCGGCATTTTTACATTAGTATCAGTTAGGCTACTTTCACACTGATCGTCTGCAAAAGCATATGCGCTTTAGACATGTTTTTACTGCATTTTTACCATGTTTTCGGTGCATTTTTGTTACTCTAAAACCGCACCAAAAATGCACCGGAAGTGTATTTTTTAATGCGTTTTTAATTAGTTTTTACTGCGTTTTCCATTGATTTCAATAGGGAGGTGCGTTTTTGCTGTGTTTTTTTTTTTTTTACCACACCAAACCCGCAGCAAAAATGCAGTAAGCAGGACTTTGAAAAACACACCTGATCTGATACAGATCAATTTGAAGATTTTCATAGGAATACATGGTCACACTTTTTTTTTTGCTAAAAAAAAGAGGAAGAAAAATGGATCAGTGTGAAAGCAGCCTAAATGTCTATGTAAATGTAATATGTTTTAGGTAGGATAAAAAAAAAAGCAAAATGCACACTATTGTTTCTGGGCCCGTACAACGGGTACAAAAAAACAAATAACATACACATATGTGGTATCGCTGTGATCGTCAGGAGCTGGGTAATTTATTTTAGGTTGTTAAGTTTTAGGCTGGTAAATTATGGTAATAACAAAGAATACACAGCTAAATTTAATTTTTTTTTTTACAATTTTGACCCAATTTTTCTTTGATAATAAAATAAAATCAGGAAATAATCATTACTATTAACCACCAAATGAACGCTTAGTTTGTCCTGAACAAAACAAGGTATAATCCACTTGGATACACAAAGTAGTTGCAATCGTATGTACAGTTTTACTAACGTATATCAAAATTGCAAAATTGGGTCTGGGTGTTAAGGTTTGTTTAAACCACGGTCATGATGGGGTTAAAGCATAACTGATTGTTTATAAACAAATATAAGGCAGCATTGGATCCAAATATGATGGCCAGTCTGATGCAAACGCCACGCACCGGCTTAATGTGGAGTTCCAGTTGATTTAAAAAAAATAAATAAAAGTCAGCAGCTACAAAAACTGTAGCTGTTCTGACTGTTAAAATACAGACACTTACCTGTCCCTCAGTCCAGCTGTCTTCTCTCCCTGGTGCCGGCCACCTCAGTATGGGAACCTTGCTGTTACTGCTTGCGGCTTCACAGCCGGGTGCCCACTGCGCATGCGCGAGCAGCGCTGCGCTTTGTGAATGGTCCTGTAGTCTTCTAGGAAATGTTATGTGTTCCAAAAGATGGGGGGAGGACAACTCCTGCTTCTGATCATAGCAGAAACCTGTCAAATTCTGGTACCCGCTCCCCCAGGTGCCAATCCTTAACGGGGAGTGGGGGAGAAGTACTTAAAGTGGAACGTCACCTTTTAGGTGGAGCTCCGCTTTAAGCATGTGCCCGTTAACCAGCAATAAACACTGCATAGCTGTAAGCCGGTCACACGGTGTACCAGAATGCAGTATTGACATTAGAAAGTACTAATTTAAGCTACATTTATAGTATACTTCTGCATTTTAATACAATGTGTTTATTTATTACAGGTACTTATATAACGCTATCAACTTACACAGCGCTTTGCATATATATATTGTATATTCACATCAGTCCCTAACCCTCAAGGAGCAGAGAGCCTAAAGTAAGGTTCCTAACTCACATTCATACATAGACATACTAGGGACAATTGAGACAGGAGCCAATTAACCTACCAGCATGTCATTGGGAGTGTGGAAGAAAACCGGAGTACCCGGAGGAAACCCACACAGGCACAGGGAGAACACGCAAACTCCAGGCAGGTGGTGCTGTGGTTGGGATTCACACCAACAATCCTAGTACTGCCAAGTAGAAGTGCTAACCATTTAGCCACTGTGCTTGCTACATCTTTGGTGCAGTTTTCAGTGAAAAAAACCTTTCATAGGGATGAATGGTAACAAATATAAAATATGTCTAAAAACACACTGGGTTGGTATCTGGTTGAATTAAAATGTGGCCTTAAGACCGATTCACACTTACATTAACGGATATGTTTTCATACCTGATATGCATTGCATAAGAGCAGCCTATTCACTTTGAATAGACCAGAAACAAGCTTCAATGCACTTGCTGTACTTTTAGTATTTTTAGTACATTCATACCTGTTCATTGGGGTATGCTGCAGTGCAGGTGTTTTTTACTGTATATGTTTGCTGGGTACTATTTGCTGTGAATGGCAAAGGAATGCACATATACCATCCGTTACTGTGCCTTGAGGTACAATTAAAACAGCCAAAGTGATTGCATAAAAATAAAGGAGATCAAAATTGGATAAAAGTGTCTAATAAAATTTTAATTGTTGATAAAAAAAAGTCATATAAAACAGCCAACATGTATCAGGGCAATACCACTCTCCCTTCATCAGGGCTCAACACAGGATAAAACTTAATTGCTGCTGAGCACTTGCTGTCAGGTTATTTCTTTATCAGGAGAGTTTAATTCTGATTCTAAAATAGATCTATGAAGTCACTGGTTTTCCTGAGTTCATCCAAGCGTTGATCCTTGATGAAGGGGGAGTGGTGTTGCCCTGAAACGCACTGTTGTGTTTTTATATGACTATTTTTATCAACATCGACTAATCCCATCTTTAAAGAGGGGATTCCGATGTGCTGGTGACCTTTGGTATGTATGATATAGATTTGGACAGAGGCTTAGACTATGCATGCCCAGTGCCACAAGAATTTGTTCTAAAGGTTGATTGCCTATTGACATATTTCTTTGGGGTTGATTTACATCTATGCGTTGTGGAACCGGATGCGTCAATGCATTTCAGTCCCACTCATTTTGAATAGCACCCCAACACACTAACGCAATGCACATTATTTGCAACCCAGCAATGTGTGTTGTAGTGCGTTGCGCCAATGGTCTTGTGACATGTTTGATATTTGGGACATTTTGGTGGATCGAAACCCCGATTTCAATGAGCTGCCTTAATGTAACGCACATTAATCAGTTGCTTAATGTGCAATAACGCATTGCACAACTGTAAATGTGCCCTTTATGTTTATAAACATACAGTTACCTTTTAAAAGTGTATTATTCCCGAGACTGGTTCGTTTTTGGTCTCGTGTGTTTGGCCTCCTTTTCACTTTGTTCCACTTATACGCTGCTCGGTATGCCTTGCTTCATTGCCCCATACTGTTTGTGCTCATCAGCAGAAATTGTCTTCCTATTTGTTTTTATTGGCCACTAGAACAATTGCTCAGGCCTGGAAGAGCCTGGTTGTCCTTTTTCAGGGGTGCGGGATCGTATGACCGCTATGATGCTCAACGAACAGATGACGAGTATATGCAATGACTCCCAATGTAAATTTTCAAAAATATGGGAACCGTGGTGGCAATATGGCTTTCCCACACTTCCCCTGGCTAGTATGGGGATGTAATGGCGTTTGGCATTGGCGTTTGGTCTGGCGCTCTTGGACCCCTGCTCTTTGTTTTTTTTTTTTGTTTTTTTCTTCTTTTTCTCTTTTTCTGTTAGTTTTTGGTGTGACAGTGGACAGTTGCCTTTAGTTGTTATAGTCTGAGTTACATTAATGTTATTGTAACTTATGTGCCATGGCTAGCTTCTGCGTGGGCGTACCTTTTCCTTTTGCCTTGTTGGAGTTAGAGCACTGTTTTCTCTATTATGCTTATTTTGTTTTTATTTGTTTTTTTATTATTGCTGCAAATGATAGCCCCTGTTTGGGCGTGTTTTGATGCCTCTGTTTATACTGTTTATAATTAATATTAATAAAAACCATTGAAATATAAAAGTGTAATTTTTGCACCCTTAAAGTTTCATGACCTATAGAAAATGGTTCACCCTTGAGCTTGTAAAATGGTCATAGAGCACCTTTGCAGCTTTCTGTATTACATACATTTGTCCATTATTCACAGAAGAATATTAGGTACTGTTAGTACATTGCACTCACACAACGGTTCCTGGGCATTTGGGTCCCCAGCTGCACTTGAGATACTCAGCCTTGATATACGGTTCTGTGCCATCCTGCTGTGTGCAGGTCACGTTCCTCTCCACCACATAGACGCAGTAATTTCTGCAAGAGAAAGCCGTGGTATGGAGACAGTTTGGAGACAGTTAGGGAATGAAAGGGGTGGGGGGGAGAGGACAGCAAGAAGGGACATGAGAGGGGGAGGGAGATGGAATAGAAAAGCATTAGATGAATATAAAGCGAATATCTCCAGTAATAAAACATCCATGTAATTTACACCAGGGATTCTGTGACATACCACTGGGCTTATTCCATAAAGGAATACCAGACAATGCAGGAAAGGCAGTTACCTAGACAACCTATTTACCAATTTGGCAATCTGGAATCTGTTAGATGCTATGGGCTACTGCACTTTTCACATAGTCATTGAACCTTGCCCTAGTTTATTGTATACGGCTAGTTCCCTGGGTCTCCTCCTCCCATGCCCGCCTCCAGGGCTTCTCCAGGGTGTCACCCATCCTCTGGAACTCCCTGCCCCAACCCATCAGATTATCACCTACTCTCCTCTCCTTTAGGCGCACCCTGAAAACCCACCTCTTCAGGGAAGCCTACCCCACCCCCTGCTAACTTGCCGACCTCCTCCACTCTTCCTACCACTCCATCCCCCACAGCTATCTCCTCCTGCGCCACCATCCCCTCCCTTTAGATTGTAAGCTCGAAAGAGCAGGGCCCTCGATCCCCTCATGTTTTGTATTGTATTGGTATTGTTCTGTCACATGTTCTGTCCCCCTTTGTAATGTACAGCGCTGAGCGAACTATTGGCGCTTTATAAATCCTGTATAATAATAATAATATAATAATTTGTGGTATTCTTTTACAGTATGTGTACCTGTGCTGATCTTTAGCAAAGTAAACAGGTGGCAGAACAGTAACACAGACAACCATAGGACATCCCTGGAGCCCTAATGTTCTGTTATGTAAAACTGATGTAAGGTAAGCAGTAATTTCGAAGGACTGTTTCCACCCAGCTCCTGCACCTTGCTATTGTTCCCTTGTGACCACTGTCCACAATGGTTTCACTGAAAAATAGTACAATGGAGAAGTGGGCAGGATATAGTGAAAACTTTCTAGATCAGCCTTTCTCAACCTTTTTAACCCAGAGGAAATAATGCTTGGGGAACCCCAGGTTAAAATAAAATACTGGGTTCAGTTGGAAGGATGTTTTTTACGTTGGTGGCTACTGGGATGAATGTTCCCCTTACATTGGCGATCAGAATGCCCTGCTTACAGACATCTAAAAAAAAAAAAAGATCATTGGTACAGTGCTGCTAGCTCTGCTAAGTGCTGTTGGATCCAGAATTATGAAGGCATCAGGAGAGAGGTCAATCAGCCACAGGTCGACAAAACCCCTAGCAACTTTTGGAGGAACTCTAGAGTTCCATGGAACTCTGGCAGAGAATGCTCTAGATCTCACCGTTTTTAACACATCTTTTTATCTACAGCTCACAGTACATTAGTGTGATGGTCATTGGGAGAAATACTCATATAAATAGAAAGACCATTGTTATCAACTGTTACTTATCTGAGAGGCAGGAATTGCCCATTGCTTAACGAACCCCTAGGAACCTCTGGTGGAACCCTAGTTGACAAAGACTGCTCTAGATATTGGCAGTATCTGTACAATAGAGGGCTCCATGTTTCCCTCTAGAAGATAAATTAAGGTATAATATTTAGCTGACAGCTTATATAGTTAAAGGTCAGAACAGGTTCAAACCAACAAGTGCGTAGTAAAGGTGCCAGTACATACTTCTCATTTTTACTGGCTGACTATCCAGAGAATAGGCATGCCCCACCCAAATGCCAAACTGGAAGATCTTGGCCTCAGTAACTTATGATGAGTTCCAGTCATTCTTGGGATTGGTGGGCATACCTATGCTTCTACTTTCAGGGAAGGCATTGCTTGAATTGTAATTTGGTGGCCTCTGGGGGCACAATGAAAGAGCAGTCAGAAGAATAAGAGGTATGTGCCCGCATACGGGTCTACTACGCATGTTAGGTTTGTCTTCTTTATAACTTCAGGTCTGTTTTGGAAGGCATTATATAAATTAGCATAAAAATAATAACGATGAGGATGTAACCTACAGCAACCAGATCTCTCTTTAAAGTAGTCAACTCAATAATATGGGAATTCTAAAGGGTTGCTATGGGTTACTACACATTCTTCTTTGCCCTAATAAGCCTGCACCTCTATGCTAACAGCAGAGCCTCTTGTTGTGTGATGGATGCTATCAACAACAGAAACAATTTTGCTTCATTATTCCAGGCAAACCGCCAAAGACAAGCACAGGCAAGGGCACCCGATCCAAGACTAATTCTAATAGATTTGTATAACGATGTTCCATATTGTTACACTAATTATTCACACGCTTCTCGTATAAAATTAATGTATAGAATTCGGGAGCCAACACATATCCTGAAGTGAGTAATGAAGATCAGGCTGTGTATGCCGACACTCCTATACTGATACTCATTATGTATGGAAACACAAAGCTGCACTGTTATACTACAAGTTCCAGCATGCTTCCCCAGTTCCTCGCTAACAGAAAATATACATCTACAAACTGCCTACCTGAGTGCTGTACAATGGGGAACAACCATTCAAAGGTATAAAAGAATTCATTGTCAGCTCATCTGAGCGGGATTCCAATTCCTGTTCTCTCCTGTGTCTGTTAAAAAGTTTTGTTATTCTTTTATGTTTAATGCCTTTTGAATATAGGAAAGCAAATCTATAAAAGGCCTGTAATGGCTTGGTACTAGTAGCATACTTTAGACCTATGGGTGTAAAATGTAATGAATAATTCAACACTAATGATGTGAGAGTGCAGTAAGCAACAGTAACCAATCAGATTCTATCATCCTAAACAGCCAAAAACAAATGTTAACCACCAATTGGTGGCTTTGGATTACAGCGCTTTGCTCTTTACTTTGATAAGTAAACCTGTGAATCACTCTATCAGCCAATCATATCCATTAGGATACTGAATAGGCGGGATAATAAAATAGACAGTGTGTTAGAGAATGCAGGCAAGGTTTGACTATTTCCTTTGTGCTACACATATTTCTGCTTGGCATGCAAAATTACATCTAGGTCCAATATATGCATGGGCAACTCAACGGCACTTGGATCAAGCAACCAAATTCCACAATGGTTGGGTACATCACTCTGGACAGTGCCATAGGATGTGTTTACAATCTATGGATCATTAAGTATGCTTCACCAACCTATTACAGATTTGGGGCAGACCTTTTCAAAGCATGGGATTCTTGTCTGAATAACTGTATTGCATGCTTAACTGCGTTAGCATTGGATTTTTCTATACAGTATATGTAATCGAAAAGTGCTGATTCTATATTTTGTAATCTCATTGTATATACCAGGTTTTCTCATCTATGTAACATGGAGGAATCCTTAAAATAACTTTCTGATCTCAGGGAACCTCTGCTTATAATTACAATATCTAGAGCTGAGGGTACGCTAATGTTATGGTCAGTAGAAAGAATGTTCCTTACATTTATGTTCAGTAAGAAGAATCCTACCCTTACAGATTGCTAAAAAGTTTATTGGTATCAGCGGTGACTTATCTGAAAGGCAGAAATTGCTCATACCCATAGCAACCTCTGGAAAAAAAACTTAGGGTTCCACAGAACCCTTGTTGAGAAAGGCTGGTATATAGTATATCGGATCAAGGCATTAATGTTGAAAGATCATTTTACACAGCAAACATATTTAAAATGGCAGTAATACAGTACATTATGCTACGTTCCATAATCAGTCCATCAGACATGCCACCGGTCTTACCTGTGCTTGGTAATGGGTTTGCCATAGGTCTGAGGATGAGAGCTTGGTGTATACAAGCTGTGAATGAACCTTCCTGTGGCAGGAGGTGGGAAATATGTCCCTTTGGCCTCGGCTGGGCATAGCAGCCCACTTAACCATACAGCGAGGGAAACTAAAAGCAAAATCCTGAGCATCCTATCTTGCATTTTTCCAGAGGACAATAAGGATCAATCGCAACAGTCCAAAATGTTCTGTAAATGCTGTTCCTGGGTCTTTACTAAAAGAGTGGACTTCTTCTCCTTGTGTCAATCCAATAGCTTCTTCAAAAGTCAAGTGGCCTGTCTTTTATGTGGTGCACAACAGGCTGGCACTTCCAGTTTGAGGATCTTATGTTTTTTTAAGCCAGTCTTTTGGTCTTCTAAATCACCGGTACTTTTTGGAGCATACACAGAATTCGTCCTTTATGAGTTTTGGCAACTCGTTCGTTGAGCTGAGGTCCGTCACTTGTGCCACTTTCTCAGGAAACCAGAGCTGTTCTTGTCCCTGTCTGACTTTGGATCTGTTCTATATGTCAGGAAGAGTCACTGTCACAAAGTGTGACTGTCCTTGGCTAGAGACGTTGGCTTAGCCTAATGCTGTTTCCATCTCGTTTTTCTCCCTGCGCTTTTTTCTTCTCTTTCCACTACTCACTTTTACTTCCCAAATTCTTTATTTTGCATTCTCCTTTTCCCTCCAGCTCTCACACCTCTTCATCACATCCCTCTGATGTAAATTCTCTTGTCTGTTTCCTAACGCTCCCTGTCTCCAGTGTCTGCATTCCCGGTATGTCTCTCTGAAACTTTCTTTCTATCAGTCTGTTGTGACTTTCTGTCTTTCTCCAGTCTCCCCCTCTCCCCCTGTCCCTGACAGCTCCTCACAGCTCCCTCTATACCCCAGACCTGTAGAAGGGGAGGGGGTGATTGGGGTGGAGGGAGAGGAGGAGTTCTCTGGGATTAGAATAATATACCCCCCTGCTCTACCCTTTCCTGAAACTGTGTTACCTCTGCCAGCAGCAACATGAGACTCAGCCTGGCACTGCATGTCACACTCACCGCAGGCAGAGGCACACGTGCACGGCGAGCATGTACGCTGCAACATTCAACAAGTTCAGGAGAAGCGCTGACGTCCAGCAGGACTGCCAACTCATCCTTACTCAAGCTGCAGATTCTTCATGCACAGGAGCCTGCGTGCAAGCATTAAACTTTACCTAAATCCAGAGAACTTGCAGAAAGTTCAGAGTTTAAGTGATACCCCCTTATTGGATAACCTAAATTAGCTCTGAAATCTACATATTAACCACTTCCAGTCCAGACACTTTTACCCCCTTCCTGACCAGGGCAATTTTCAGCTTTCAGCGCTATCACACTTTGAATGACAATTGCGCGGTCATGCAACACTGTACCCAAATGAATTTTTTACCATTTTTTTGAGACAGATAAAGCTTTATTTTGGTGGTATTTATTCACCACTGGGATTTTTATTTTTTTTGCTATGTAAATGAAAATGTCCAAAAATCTTTTAAAAAAGTTTTTTTTTTATAAAATTTTGCAAATAAATAATATTTCATCATAAATCTTTGCCAAAATTTATTCCGTTATCTTTTTAGTAAACAAAAAAAAAATCCAAATTAGTTTATAACCAAAAATTATAATTTAAAAAAAAATTTTTTTACATTTTTATTTTATTTTTTTATATATTATTATTATTTTTTTTTTTTACATACTGTCACCCTAGCAGTACAGTGTCACCATGGTGCTACTTGTGGGGGGTGATGAGTATTTTTTATTTTTTTTTACACTGATTGCTTTTCCACCCATATAGGATGTAAAAGCAATCATTTCTCTTTCTCTCTGTCTGCATTCTTGCACTCATTAAGAAGTACTGAGTGAGCTGTGATTGGTCACAGCTTGTCACATGGTACAAGGCTGTTGTGAATAGCCTTGTACCATGTGACCTCTGTGATCATTCACAGATTTCACACGTAGTAAGCAATGATGTCACAAGTGATATCTTGCTTACTACTTTGCATGTGATCACTGATTGGCCAATCAGTGATCACATGATCGTGACCTCGTACAGAGGTCCCGTCCGACAATCTGTGTTTCACTGTGTCCGGAGGACACAGCGGGCACCGGATCGCGGTGCTGCGTGCTCCGAGGGAGCGCGCACAAGCAGGGTGCGGGGAGGCCGTTTATAAACGGCCACCCGACCCTGCACTGCCACCGTCCTGGCCGTTTATATGCAACGGCCGGTCGGGAAGTGGTTAATATAGAGTATGAGGGTTTCTGAACCTCTGAAACCTAACAAAGGAATCTAAATTATCCCGAAAGTGTACAATAAACATCATAATTATTATTATTATTATACAAGATGTATATAGCGCCAACAGTTTGTGCAGCGCTTTACAATATAAGGGAGACAGTACAATTACAATACATTTCAGTACAAACAGCGCTCAGTGCATCAAATAGAGCCAGACTAGAAATGATGTCACCTGACTTCCGTTCTAAGCACCTTTGAGGATTATACATCAAGTGCATTTAGACCCATATTTGTATACCAGGAACTGTACTTTTTATCTGAAGGCTTTTTGGATCCTGATGATATTATGAAGGCAGTTTTAACTGGGTAAAGATCCATAGGAGGACTGTCTCCCACCTATCTTTTGGAAAGATATAAAAGCGTCTGTTTTTTGGAATATTGGTAAGGGTATGCATTCCTTACTGCACTTAGAAGTGTCACAGTGCCGGTTTGAATAGAGCACTGAAGAGTGATTCACATTCACAGTGGTATTTCTTTGCTTTGGATTCACAGTTTTTTTTTTTCACTTTATTCACGTTTTCACTGATTGTTAATGTGATTGGGTATCCACTTGAATAAAGTCATTATAATTTATTTGATTTAAAAAGATAATGCACTAATTATTTTCTTTTTTTGAGAAATATTATCGGAGGAAGTTTCTGAAGGATTTTTGAACACGATATCATCTGAGAAGAACTTGATTTAAAAACATTTTTTGGACTTATAGGGTTTGGACTGCACATATTTTTATTGAGGACTTATTGTATAGAATCTTCTTTTTATTAATTAAGAATTAAACTATACCTAAATCCATAGAACATGCAGAAAGTTCAGAGTTTAAGTGATACCCCCTTATTGGATAACTTAAATTAGCTCTGAAATCTACATATTAATATGGAGTATGAGGGTTTCTGAACCTCTGAAACCTAACAAAGGAATCTAAATTATCCCGAAAGTGTACAATAACATTATTATTATTATTATACAGGATTTATATAGCGCCAACAGTTTGCGCAGCGCTTTACAATATAAGGAAGACAATACAATTACAATACATTTCAATACAGAAGGAATAGGAGGGCCCTGCTCATGGAGCTTACAATCTAAAGGAAGGGGGAGGTGATACAAAAGGTGATAACTGAATGGGGAAAGAACAAAGAGAGGGCGCACAGGCCTAGTGCATTACCATAAAAAATGTTTAATAAAAAATAAAGTAGGTGTTGTACTCACAAACGACAATATAGTCAAGGCACATCATAAAAGAACAGCTGGGTCAACACCGCGCTGAGTAACAGTCCGCAATAGGGAATTTAGACATCCAAAAGGCTGAAGCGTTTCGAGGACTTGCCTCTTCCTCAGAGCCTCACAAAAGGTGATAACTGCGGGGGATGATCTGGCGGAGGTGATTCAAGTACAGTTTTTAGGTGGAGGTGGGGTAGGCTTCCCTGAAGAAGTGAGTTTTCAAAGATCGCCTAAAGGCAGACAGGGTGGGGGCTGACCGGACATGCTGTGGTAGGGAGTTCCAGAGGATGGGAGAGGCTCTGGAGAAGTCCTGGAGGCAAGCGTGGGAGGAGGTGATGAGGGAGCTAGAGAGGAGGATATCGTGGGAGGACGATTTTTTGGCGGTATCTGTGGATGAAAGCCCAACTCCCGGTAATTACAAAATGATCCCTTGCAGTGGAGCTGTGCCCACCCTACAAGGGTTATTAGCTCATTTTGTTTAGGGTAGAGGAGAAACAGTTTTACTTATGCAGGCCATACATGGTTCGAATTCCGAAAGATTTTTTTGTCCCAAAATCGAAAACGTTGTTCGCTCGGTAATCTGATGGTGCTATCAATGATTTCGAAAATTGGCCGACCAAGTCATAAAGTTCACCTCATATAACAGGCGAAAGTTGTGTTCCTTCCAGGTCACGGCTCATGCGCATAATCTTTTTCGGAAAAATGATCGTACGATTTGACCATCATTGAGTCGAAAATCGGTCGTTTTTCACAAATTTTCCAGCATGCCCGATCACGGAAAAGAGGAGGAACCACGAAAATCAGCCGCTGCCATTGACCCACTAACAGAGCAAAAATTGGCTGATTATTCTTAGGTCTGATTTTCGGAAAAAAATCGTTTGAATTTTGACCCATGTATGGCCGGCCTTACCTGATCCTCTGCTTCCCTGGCAGGCAGCGCTCCTTCACAATCTAGCAGTGGACTGTCCCATCCAGGGGCGGACTGACCATTTGGAAGCTCAGGCACTGCCCGAGGGCCCGGGGTCAGTAGGGGGCCCCATGAGATGCCCCTGGTACCTTTTTCATAGGCTTTTTTGAGTTTGGGCAAGGACACAGGTGCCCCATAATCCCCTATTGCCTGGGGGCCCCATGAGTTGTCAGTCCGCCCCTGGTCCCATCGCATCCTCAAGTTCAGAGCAGGGTTATGGACCCTGCTCTAGTCTTGATGACATCAGTAGTCTAGACAGGTAGAGTGCAAGGTTGCAGAAGCTGCAGATAGGAGCAGAAGATCGAGTAACTCTATCTCCGTTTATTGTTCCTTTAGACATAAACAGGTACTTACCCTGGCACTGTAGGGATAATGTACTATTTGCCTGGGAGTTGGGCTTTACATTAAGCTGGCAATACACTGAACGAATGTCGGAGGGTTCCTGATGAAACATTTGCTTAATGGGTGACCCTGTCAACACTCTCCTGCCTGACATCGTTAAACTACAGAAATCTAATGCTGGGTACACACTAACAAATTTTTTTTTTTCATTCAACCCAGAAGGCTGATAAAAAAAACTGAAGCGCTCAGGAGGAGATCGCTGTACTAACTATCCAATGTTAGTACAGCGATCTCCCCGCTGAGCTATTGTGTTCT